TGGGGAAAGTTAAGAGTGAAAAAATGCTGAGAAAACAGTCTTTCACATGTGTGCTCACATATAGGCAGTGGCTCTAGCTCCTCCCAGGGACATTTCATAATCAGTTGTTTGTCCACAACAAACAGATCCCCCAGAATGCCCAGAGCCTCAGGATATGTCTCCTCTGAAGACACTATTAATTGCTTGCAGCCCTTGTTGAGGTTTATGATGCTCTGAGTAGGCTTTTGATCATGCCCAAGTTAGCTGGGTGAAATCTCCTTCAGACAAAATGATGCTGCAGTCTAACTTCAGCTAAAAAGCAAGAAAAAAGACAAGCCCCCAACAAAAAAAGCTACATGTTGTTGTTGAGTGACACCTCTGAGAATACTCAGGAGTCTGCAGTAGGAAATGGCTCATTGCTTTCTGCCTTAGTACACGAGCAGATTTTTCCTTCTGTGGTTTAGGCACTGGGAGGAGAAGTGAGTGCTCTGAGTTGTATTGCAGAGAGGATTAGAATTCTTTTCAACTGGTAAGCCAACAGCACCAAGTGCCCAAGTGCTGAATTTACTTTATTATTCAGTCAAGCTCCTTTGCATGTGCCCTTACTCCTGAGCATTTGCTCCGTGCTTTTAGCCTTCGTGTTGCTTTTCCATGACAATAGTTTGAGCCTATTTCAAGTCTCTCTTGGCTATTACCAATCACCTACTTTGGTGAGAGAATGTCCACTCCTAAAACTGTACACACAGTATTTCCTAATTTATGGGCGTTAAGTAAATTGTTTCCATTTAATTATCCTTTGTTCCATATTAATAGGAAGCCTTATTTGACCTTTTTGCTTAATTCACTTGTTTTATAGGTCTGTTTTTTCATCTTATTGTAGGGTGATCAGTGTATTTGCCCTTTCAGATGAGAACATACCAACTTCTATGTGTTAATTTGTTGTTTGGGGTTTTTTTTTTCTTTTTAACTTCTCACATAGCTTAGTGTGTTTTTGTTGGTACTTTTGGGACAGACACTTTCATAACTTGTCCCTTAAAAATGCTGGGTCTCTTTTGTCTTTTTGTTTGAATGGCTCAAGTTCTGTAATACTCTTGGGCTATTCAGATCTTAATCAGCCCCTCGTTAAGAATGACTGTCATCTGCCCTGGTGTTGCCCAGTTGTCTGGCTATTTTTAGAGTAGTGGTATTTTGGTATTTGTGTTACTTAACTTAAGGCTGTTCATCCTGTAAACAAGCTGGATGCATAGCTCTAGTCTGAAGAGCTGCCCCAGACATGAAATGTAACACTTGAATTTCAGGAGAGGCTTACACAGTTAAATGGCTTCATTATTAGAAATATTTCTTGCCTGGGAGAAGTTGGTGTAGATGCATTTGCACTGGCACAAATATACTTTTGCTTGGAGGAATTTTGTTTTGTTTGCTGAAGTGTCACACACAATAGTAGCAATAAAGCTGGAGGCTTGCTGGTGTAGCTGTGGACAAAGACTGGGGAGAGGAAACTCTGCCAAAGTGTGGAGTGAGGAATTTGAGGATAGGAGCAATAAAAGACCACTTGAAGGCAGGAGTCTGGCAAAATGAAGACTGTTGAGAAAAATTTCCAGCAGTGTCTGTTGTGTAACTTCAGCTTTCTATTCTATGTAAATATTCCTCCATTCTTAGTGAGGGGGGAAGGCCTGTTAAATGAATTTTATCTTTTCCATTCCTAAAGAAAAATATACTGCCCTTCAAAATTGATGGAAAAGATGGATTACTATAGAACGGCATTTTTAATAGTTTGCATGACACTAATCATGTTGTTTCTTATGACTTAAAACCTTTTCCAGGGTCTGATACTACATTTTAAATGAAGTATCAGAGCCTTATATACTTCTAGTGCACAGACCTTTGTTCTGTGTTTGCAAATAGCTTGCAAAGCTTTGGTGTCTCATGTCTTTATTTGTGGTAGGCACCTGCTCTTTGCTCTCTCTAGTTTTATATGGAGCATACTCCCAGTTATATTGAGGAGCTTAAAGAACAAGGTGATTTTTTTTTTCCCCAGTAAAAACAGGCATCAAGCCCTGTGTTCCTTAGGGATGAGGGATGACCTGGACAGAGGTTGATGGCTGTGGCCCCATCCAGGGCAGTGGTTGGCCTGGTTCAGTGGGTGCTTTCCCTCCAGCCAGGCTGGGTGCTCTGGCCGCGTGGAGCAGTGGCAGTAACCACTGCAGGGGCTGCTCTGTGCTGATCTGCACTGTCAGTACCAGGCATCATCACACTTGGCACAGTTTTGTGCCTCTCCACACTTCTGAGAGTGCCATGGAGGTTTTTGGGGGTTTTGACAGTGCATTGCTGCCATCACACCTGTAGGTAATTCAAATATTAAATACAGTGTTTTATGCAACCAAGATTTTTGTCGTAGTGCCTAAGACACGGTAGGATTTTTTCCCTAAATTAAATTTAACTGTTAATCCATGGAATCAGCTGCAAAGCAAGCAATCTATTTGATTCCATAGCTGTATTAAGAAATTTTGTTTCTGTAATACACAGAAAATCAGGTTATTATGATGTAATTGTCTCTCTAAATTCTTAATTGTTTGCTGAGATGATCTGTTTGTTGATTGCTATTTGAATACCTGTGAGTTTTCCTGCAGATCATACATAGTTTCAATGTGCTTTCAACTCATACAAGGCCAATTCAAACACTTTAAAATCTTTTAGTTACAAGTAACTCTTTTCAGGCAAAATTTGATGAGGATGTTGTATTTAAATAGTGTTTCACTGAAGGAAAGAGTGAACAACTCTCAAAGAAAGAATTTCTTTGACTTAAACTGACCTGCTTCATATCCATTTCCAACCACTGTGTCCTTGAGAAGAAGGAGAGGGTACTTAAGACAAATTTTGAAAGAATTGGTAGCACATTTTAGAATTGTCACTGGCAGCACTGGATTCTTTTTTGCTTTGTGGGCTCTTCTTTGGTTTTGTTTTTAAACTGAGCAATTGAGCTTTTTTTCATCTTAAAAGAACAAACAAGTGTAGAAATACAGGATGTTTGGCTGAAGCTGTCAGTATCAACAGAAAAGAGGTGTCCAACTGAGATGAGAAATGGAAAAATAGGTATTCTAAACTGTATTTTCACTCATGAGTGAGCAAATAATATTATGAAATGATAGCAATCTCCTTTGGTACTAATAGGATGCCAGGCTTGATTTCAGGTCATTTTCCTACATATAATCAAATGTGTATTTAAATACAATGTTTACCAATATGTGAAAATCAGCTCCACAGTGGTGGTGATGGTCTGGGCTTGTGTTTTTCCTGATTGCATTTGAAGAGCACTTGGAGCACACACAGTGTGCTAGAATCTGCTTCTGGGATTTTCTGACTGCAACATCCACTTCAAATATCATTCACAGCTTAAATGCATTACAACCACATGGCTTCCTGACAACTTTAAAAAGAAAAGAAAATTTGCCCTTAAGACTATTTAGTTGGGGTTTTGTTTGACTTTGCTCCATTGTGAAAGGCTGAAGCAGCAGATTTTTGAAGCCTGTGTAGGTTCTGTGTGAGTACCATGTTTTTGTGACTATGGTTTTTCCATTTTAAAAAATAAAATATATCTGTTTCTCAGAACTCAAAATGCTGCATTTTTCTTGACTTTCATGAAACTTGGCAGTGAATCCTGTGTTACTTCAGTGTTTTTGTTTCCCCAGCTTAATGTGCTCAGAACTTCTCAGTGGTAAAGACTAGAGGCTTATTTTTACTGTTGGAATGAAAAGAGTATCCAGGCATGACTTAAAGGGTTTCAATTTTCAATTGAATAGAACAGGTTTACAGCCTAAAGTTGTATTATTTCACATTTCTTTAGCAGGGAAGTGATCATTCAGGTCACACAAAAGGCAGATTTGTTGTGTTACAGCTGTTTTCTCCTGCCATTGAGAATAGATTTATTTTTATATTCCCTAAAATGTATGTATTTGCCTAGCATAATGAATTACATTAATTCAAGAGTCAGAAGAGGGTGGAGAATTTTTGTTTTAAGAGCAGTTCATTGTATTATAGGAGAAAAAGGCACTGCAGAAGGGCAGGGGATTCAAAAACAGGGGCAAGAGGCATCACCTGCAATGCCATACCCTTGTTTCTAGCACACAGAAATGTGGCTGGGAGTTGGGCATTTCTTCCTTTGCTGTAACTGAACTTACATTTCACGTCCTGGTGGTGATTTTGCACTGTGGCACTTTGTGCTCCTGGACACCAGATGGTGCTGCTAAACTGGCTGATGTGTCATTTTCACACTTGCAGTAATTGGTACTTGATTTAGCTCCAAAGTTGGATCTGTACTCTCTGACCAGGTGTATATTATGGGATACAGAGCTGCACCTCATAGCTCAGCCCAACCCTTGTGTTGTTTAAGGACAGTGGTCTGATAATTATCATGTAAATCAAGTGGGCTGTAGAATAAATATTTTAGATCTCACTGGGCAAAACCCACCATCAGCTGGTGTTCCTGCTAATTTATGTACTTGAATTTCAGCAATTTGCTTTAATAAAGTGTCATTTAAATTTCATTTGATAACTGCAATCAGAAAACTTTGGGTGGAGACACCTTTAGTGCCAGGTTAAAACTGCAAAGAATATTTGTAGAGACTAATTCAATATCTCAAAGTGATGATGAGGGAGGGTTTGAGTTTGGTGGGCTACCAAAAGCTTAGAGTTGTCTCTTGTTACTTTTGGTTTGAGGAGATATGGTGGCTTAGCTACGTAATTACATTGCAGACAATGTTTATGATACTGTGAAATACATTTGGAATTTGATTTCTATTTATTTTAAGTTGGTTCTTATGTTTAATAAATTCATCTGGTAATCCTAATTGTGGGGCAGAAGGGATGGAGTAAGACATTTTGGCCTTCAGCTGAATCCCAAAGGCTGGTGGTATGGTTTATCAGTGGATTATAAATAATGGGCTCAAATTTATTTGAGCAGTGAGGAAATTATTTTATAGATATTGTACTGTATTTTTCTTACAAGCTTATTTCTTTTATAGATCCCCATATTAAAGTTTCTGGAAAAAAAGAAAACGTTAAGGAAGCAAAAGAGAAAATCATGTCTGTCTTGGACACAAAAGTAAGAAAACTTTCTTAGAATGACACCTTAGCCCCTAATTTTGTGGTGACATTGATCTCTTTAATAGGCACATTTCAAGAGAAGGTATTTATGGAAGCTCTGAAGCAAAGTCTCCAATAAATGCCTTGCAGATGTTGATATTGGTGTATTCCCACATATTTAAACATTTTGAGAGAAAAATACTTGCTTGAAGCAGCTTTTCCAGATCTGAATTATATAGAAATAATATTTCCTGCCATATGGCTAAAAGCATAAGTGATTTGTTCATTGAATTGGGGTTTCACTTCAAAATCTGAAATACAGCTTCACTGCAAGCAATAGATTATTCAACCACTTCAGAGAACCTAAAATTTTGTTTCTGTTTGAAATTTGATTTTAGGAGCATTTATGCTGTTTTATGTTTAACAGTTACTCTATTCTTACACTCTGAAACACCAGGACCAGAATTTCTAAAACATCTAGATTTTGGCTGGGGTCTCTTCTGTTCATCAGAAATTATTTTCATTCAGCAGCAGCTCTTTTGGGGCAGTGTGCATGGCTCCTGTGTACTTGGATGGCACCTTCCTGGCTCTCTGAGCAGATTACCAAGAGGAGCATTGGAGTGATAAGCACCACTTTTTGAACAACTATTAACAACATTATTGTGAGCTGTTAACAATAGAGGTTTTAAGAATAGCTGTGGGCAGTGTTTGTGTGTTTTAAAAATTCATGTACCAAAAAAAAAAAACCTGTTTAAGGAAGAAAAAACAGTTACTTGGTTCCATGGCTTTGATTTGCAAAGTCTTCATAATGTATCACTTTCAGATCAAATAGGCGTGCATGAGTTCAATTTGAAAGAACATGGAATTAAAAGAAATCAGAATAAATTGCAGAAGGACACTGAAGTCACAGTTGATGAAAGTTCAAGGGTGTTTTAAAAGTATCAGTTGTTTTTGAAGATGCATCTTTGGGGTATTTATCTCCACTATTTGTTTCCTCACTAGAAAGAAAACAAGACCAAATTAACTTCCAACTGATTCCTATTAAAAACATCATCCTTGAGTAGAAGTTAAGTAATGGCAAAAATACTTTGGAAATACAATTTTGATGTCATTCTTGAAGTGATATACTCTTAAAAACTCAAATACTGGGGTTCTGCTATGACCAAGTGAAACTGTGGCTGCTTGATTTCCAGAGCAATCGGGTAACCTTGAAGATGGATGTTTCACATACAGAACATTCTCATGTGATAGGTAAAGGTGGCAATAATATTAAAAAAGTGATGGAGGAAACGGGATGCCATATCCATTTTCCAGACTCAAATAGGAACAATCAAGCAGAGAAAAGCAACCAAGTAAGTGTTGTTTAATACTGAGCTCGTTTGTGTTGTAATTCCTGAGAGTATAAAATATTTCTAAACTTCTCTCATCAATATGGGTTTTTTGGGGCTGGTGTGTTCATATTCAGGGAAAAAGATTTTTGGTTTTTACACTGTGTGGAAAGTACAGAGCTTCCTAAGTGAAGAAATCTTTAAAAACAGATGGAAACAATTTGTGATGGCTCATGAATCATTTTAATTTTTTTAAGCTAAAATTACTTTGCACATACAGAAGTCAGCAACTTAGTGTGAATGGTAGAGAAGTGGTATGAAAAAATCTGCTTTTGTAATTTTTTTTTCCTGTTCAACACAATGACTTATTCAGCATATTGATTGATTTTTTTGGTGCTTTTTGCTTATGGTGTAACTTTGTTGAAGACTAAACTTAGCAAATAGCCAGCAGAAATGAATGTCCTATTGTAAGAGTTCAAATTCATTAGAATAAATCATTGAGCCTGAGTTGTTCATCTTTTCTAGTGCTAATATTGGTGGAATGTTTACTTTCAAGTCTCTCATCCTTGTACTTAGAATTTCCACTTGTGCATCCTAATGGCTGCTGAGCAAGATGCAGTAATTTCAAAACATTCAAAAACATCTACTGTTGTCTGACTATTAGCATTGAGCACATCTATACAGTAGTAATGCCATTATTTAACTTAAACCACTATACTTTTTGATGTATCCTTTTTTTTCTAGTTGCTTAAATATATATAACCTAAGATGCTGAAACATTTTTTTAATATTGGCTACAGTTCTCAACTAGTGTTTAGAGAACAATTAGGATGTCAGCGAGTGTGAAATGGGTTGATTTTTTTCTTAGATTTTTTGTTTTGTTTTGTTTTAAGGAAACCCCAGCTATCTGAATAACTTCTCCATGCCTCACTTGAAAATATGATCCAATGTTTTTCACATTCTTGCTCTTCCAGGTGTCTATTGCAGGACAGCCAGCTGGAGTGGAGTCTGCAAGAGTCAGAATTCGGGTAATGCTCTAGCTCAGTGTAGTGTACCCCTAAAAACACCTGCCAGGGGAAAAATGTATAGTTTTGACAACTCTAGTTTTGAGAACCCCTGTCTGCCTGTCTGGTGACAGCAGAAGTGTAAGAACAAATGTGAGTATCCATATGAGAAATATGCCAAGGATATTATAACAGTGATTCACATTCTGGCTGAATTTTTAATTGGCCCAAAGTGGGTCTTGAACACGAAGCCTACACTCTAAGCAAGATGTAAATTAATTCCATACTGTGTAGAAAATTATGTCTTAACTTACCTACCACAGATGGCCTGTGGAAGCTCAGGCATCCTGTGTGAATCTATGACTTGGGAAAGGCAGTTTCTCCTTCTCACATTTTAACCATTTTCATGTATAATTTGTGTAAATAATTCAGTGTCATTCTCCACTTGTAGCTATTTTCTATCTTTTCCTTATAGCTTAAAGTCTTATGTGTATTTTGGCATGGGTAATGAAAAATCAAATAAATTACCAGAAGCTTACAGCAATCTTTGAGCCAGATGTGTCACACAACCTTTTTCCACATGCTCCCGCTATTTTGGAGAGAAAAAAAAAATCAACCAAACAAAATTCAAAAAAGCCTCTGCATAAAAAAGAAAACTGCTCTAGTATTCCTGGAAAAAAGAGGTGTCTTTTTCCAAGTGACAGTATATTTTTATCCATGAACTCTGGACAGAGGGTGTGTTTTATCACTTAAATCATCACTGACCAGTGCATCATGACTGAGGAATAAAATTGTTGTAGTTTGAGTATGGATCTGGTTTTCAATATCTCTTCTGCATCACTGTTGTAGGAGCTGCTTCCATTGGTACTCATGTTTGAATTGCCTATTGCTGGAATTCTCCAACCCATCCCAGATCCTAATTCTCCAACCATTCAGCACGTGTGTCAGACGTACAACATTTCAGTTTCCTTCAAGCAACGCTCTCGAATGTATGGTGCTACAGTCATTGTCAGAGGGTCACAAAACAACACTAGTGCTGTGAAGGTAATCTCTGCTCCTAAGAAGGTTTCTGAATGTCACATATTTATAATTTATATGTCAAAGATGCTATATCTTGCATCATCAGCACGTGTTATGGTATAATTACTTGCAAACCCTGAGGGTATGAATTTTTTCCTGTACTTAACTTATACAGGTGAAGTGTAAAAATGCATAAAAAATAGTTTTAAGTTCAGGATTTAGCATTGTTGGTGGTAAGGTTTTCATCCAGTGTTCACCTCCTGCACACTTGCTCAGGTTTTCAGCAATTCTGGGATTACTTGCGGGTCTTACCCATCTTTTCATTGAAAAACAATGCAAACAAAAACCACAAAATACACCTCCCATCTCAAATTGTTCATGCTGAGCTCTTCTCAACACGCACACAAATATATAACGTTGAAAGCTGCCCAGTCAGTCAATAAAACTGAATCCAGTGCTTGGGGGTGTGAATTTGACAGCCAAGGCAAGGAGCTGCCAGGACCCTGTTGATCTTAATAAACAGTAAAAAAGTGTTCTTGGTAGGAACTGGCAGTAGGAGAGATTGATACAGTCCCAGATGGGTGGATCTCAAGCCAGTAAGAACCTCTGAGCCCAACATCAAGAGGAAAGTTTTGCAAGTGTACCTATCCAGATAAATCTCTGTTGACTTTCTGACTGCCTTTGTGGCCACAAAAAGTCTGTTGGGACCAATCCATGTGGCATTGTCTTACTGCCTGTTTCAGAGTGGCAATTAAATGCTGCATTTGGCCATAAAATGGGAGTAGTGGGCAGAATTTCGTTACCTTTAACAAATCAATCATGGTTTCAAACCCAACAGCGTTTTCTTATCTTATCCCGTGGAATGCACCACAAGAAAGCAAGCAGTCTGAGTTGTCCTTTTGTGTGCCTGTGAGCCCTGTTCCAGTGGTTTCTCCCATTTCCCCCCAGGAAGGAACAGCCATGCTGTTGGAACACCTGGCTGGGAGCCTGGCCTCTGCAATCCCTGTGAGCACGCAGCTGGACATCGCAGCGCAGCATCATCTCTTTATGATGGGCCGCAACGGCAGCAACATCAAACATATCATGCAGAGGACTGGTGCTCAGATCCACTTCCCTGACCCCAGTAACCCACAGAAGAAATCCACTGTCTACCTCCAGGGCACAATTGAGTCTGTCTGTCTTGCCAGGCAATATCTCATGGTAAATACTTTTAGTGAAGCTTGTGTGAAAAGATTGCCAGATCATAGAAAATATGCTTGCTCTGCATATGTTTACAGGTCACATGTAAATTAGCCTTAGAGAGGAATGAATGCTATTACACTGCAAACAGCTGACTCAGCTTTTGTCAGGGTTTTGTCAGTGTTTGTAGTTATTGAAAATATTTGTAATCTCTGGTAACGTGACTTGAAAAATAACCTTTTTAATATAAATCTGACATAAGTAATTTAAATTTACAACAATATGCCTCTGAGTAGAGGCAGTTTTCTGAAATAGTCTGTGGGTGTTGGGTGATGGGTTGTATTTTATTTTGCCAACCTGTCTTTTCTATGTTTGTCAGGTAATTAGGTTTCTTTTGAGGGAAATGTCAGAAATTTCTTAGTTCCCATGTTGGCAAGTGTTCAATGAAATTGGGAAACCATAGGAAATAATTACTTGTTTTGATATCTTACATTCTTTATAGTGCCACAGTTACAATTCTATAAGGCCTTTTAGAAACATAGCTCTGATGGTGTATATCATTATTTGTGGAGATTTTTGTTATATTGGTCTTTAAACTTCACAACAGCCTTTAGCTGTTTTTACTATTTTTACTATTATTTTACTACTAACATATGTACGCATTTTTCATATATGTGAATATTGAGGGACAAAATTTGTGAGGACTGGGCCATTCAGTTTTGGGGGGTTTTACTCTAAAGCTTTAGAATTTCAAGTGTGTTACAGATGTTATTCATATCAGTAGGAAATATCTACATAGCTGATCTAGAATGGGGAAGAGAAAGGTATAAGTTAAGACTTAGGCAATGGTGAATTAGAGATTTTTTTACAAGTATTTTTCCTTATTTCAAAGAGTTTAATGGGAGACTTTTAGTATGGGCATCCTGCCATCCTTTCCTGACAAGACTGTACTGATTGGAATGTCAAATATTCAGTGAATCATTTCACCCTTGTGCTACCAAACTCTGTTCAGAGTCCTAGGACAGGAAGATACACCTGTATTCTTGCATACAAGGAAATGGCTTTCCCTAAAATGTCATCCTTGCTATTTTTTCTGAATTTACAGAAATTTCCTTACATCATGGTGTATAAACATTACAATGTTTGTAGTTCAGTTTATTGCTACCATTTTTATGGGAAAATGTCCAGTTACAAGTGCTAGGAATTTTTTGTGCCTTCCTTTTCAGGGTTGCCTTCCCCTTGTGCTCATGTTTGATATGAAGGAAGAAATTGAAGTAGAACCACAGTTTATAACACAGCTAATGGAGCAGTTAGATGTCTTCATAAGCATTAAGCCTAAGCCAAAACAACCAAGCAAGGTTTGTGCAAAGCTAATATTTTCCTTTTAGACTTTCATGACAAAGTTTTAGAGCTGATGAGTTGATGTGTGCTCTTTCCCCCCAGTTTAACAGATCATAAACTTTTGAAAGCCATATGTATTTTCTACTTGAAATACCAATTTAAACAATCCAGCAGTTCTGCTTTAGGGTGATTTGACTTATATAATTTAAATAAATGCTTAATAATAAAGAAATTTGCTTCTGTATAGAATACATTGATAAAGTAGGAGGGGTTTATTGTAAAATATTAGGCCAGTGTAAATAGGGGACTCTGTGGTGTGTAAAATGCCAAAGCAGGCCAAAGTTTTAAAATTTTAAATGATCATTCCATTGTGTCAAAATTTTAAATGATCATTCCATTATGTGAGCTTCCCTGTGTAGGGATATATTTAATCAATACAAAGAAACATCCTGTAGAAAATGTACAAGAAGCAATTGGGTTTTGTAATTGAATTTTCCAGAAACTTATTACCTTATTCTCAGACAGCTATGAATTTAATGGGTAAATTTAAATGAAGAATTGGGGTTTTGTCCACTTCAAGGTGGACAAAAAGTAAAAGGTAAAAGAGAAGATATTAATTATTGATTCAGTTATCTAGCTCTTGAGGTGCTTAACATTTGGTCTATCAAGTAGCACCAAGGTACTATAGTAATTAATTTTCTTAGAGAGGTGTTCCATCATTCTCATTGCAAATCCTTATGAAATCCCTAGTCTTGCTTTCCTGAACTTCACACCCCTGAATTTAAATAGTTGCTAATGGATGTTAGCTCCTGCTGTCTCACACTGCTGTGGTTGTGGTAGCCGTGCAATGGTATGAGGAAGAATTATCTGTGTTGCAGATCTGTGTTATGGAGCAGTGTTACTCACTGGTTTTCCATTTTTTGTTGTTGTTTTCTTTCCCTGCAGTCTGTGATTGTAAAAAGTGTTGAACGAAATGCCTTAAATATGTACGAGGCACGGAAATGTCTCTTGGGACTTGAAAGTAGCGGAGTCACCGTAGTATCAAATCCCTCTACTGTCTCCTGCCCTGTTGGTCTGTCTTGTCCTGGTTTGGATATTTTGTCCTCAGCAGGACTAGGACTCACTGGGCTTGGTATGCATTCATTATATTTATATTTTCTTTAATATAGTTTTGTTTTAAACTTAATTCAATTGTACTAGAAAAAATTATCAGAGGTGTGTTTTGTGTAAGAATTGTGTTAAAGCATCGGAGAATTAAAGCAGCCTCTAGCCTCTCAAGGGCTTGTTGTAAATTTTCTCCAAGGCTTTTGTAATCAGGTGTAGAAAAAATCTCTGGAAGTGTGCAAACCACTCAGCTGAAAGGGAGGGAAATACAGGTGAGGTGGGGCATGGCTTTTACAGCTGCTTTGGCCGTGTGATGTCCCAGGCTGTCCTGGTAACATAGCAAACACCACGTTTCAGGTCAGTATCTCACTGTAACTGAGGGGTCCACATGCTTCTAGTGTAGACCTTACCAATAGGAAATATAGGACAAAAATTAGTAAACATCTTAATTTTATAGCTCATATTTCAGACTGAAATTACGATTTTTATTTTGACACTCTGCCAATACCTTTGTATCAGAAATGTATGGATAGAAAAACCAAGTAGTCCCAGAAGAATCTAGTGACAAATCTTGACATGGGTCCTAGAAACTGAGTTCTTATGTAGCCAGCACTGTCCCTTGTGACCTGCCATGCAGGAGTGCTGTGTAGTTCCATCTTACATGCTTCCCTCAGGTCACACAGGAGAAAGTGTTTCTGCCATTTGACTGTGATTTTTAATGCTGCTTCTGTGACTATTCTTGTCATGCTGCACTTTGCAGGTTTGGGGCTTTACCTTTTCAGTGTGTAGTGCTGAACTGCTTTGTGAATGCTTTTGCACAAAGAGCTGGTTTGGGGGAATGTTTTGGAAGTAATCAATGGATTTGGGGGATTATTTGCAGCCTGTATTGAAGGTACAAAAAGAAATTGAATAGTTGTTAGTGTGCAAGTAGTGGTTGATTCACACAGGAGCTTCTGAGCAGAAGGTCATTGTGTGAAATGAAAGTGAGGTGGTGCAGTACAGTTGCTTTCTTATTTTCTGTGATGCTGCTTTGAAACAAACCATCAGAAGCAGCAGAGGGGATACAGAGGGATGCTGGGGCTGAGAAGCAGCCAGTTCAGACTCTGTTATGACAGGAGTTAGGGTCCAGTAGAAGGACATAAAAGATGTTCCAATTCTTCTTGGATATATGATGCCCAGTTTAATAACAAGAATTCTTAATGTGCTCTTAATGTGCACCAAATGAGCAGCAGGTTTAATGTTAAAATTGGTTTGTGAAATACAGGCTGGTGCAAATTACCAGGGGGGTTGTTTGTTTCTCTTCAATTGGTACTTGTGTGAAAAATGCTTTCCTGTACATCTAAACTAAATATTCATCTTGCATAATTTTTTGCAGGCCTTTTAGGTCCAACAGCCCTGTCAGTCAACACCTCAACTACTCCAAACTCTCTGTTGAATGCCCTTAATAGCTCTGTGAGCCCTCTGCAGAGTCCAAGTTCAGGCACGCCCAGTCCCACACTGTGGGCAACATCTCTCACTAACACAAACACCACAGGTCAGTGGAAGTTTAATGGGAATTAAATGAACTGTGCAACACCAAGTCATTAGAATTGCAGTTGACAAGTCAAGATTAATTAATTATTTGGAACCTTAATTCCAACACTTACCTTAGCATGGATGAATAAATATGCAAATTTAAGGTTATAACCTAATATGCTGTCACAGCCAGTGTTTTCATCTGTTTTATGTAGAAAGCAAAGTTAACCTACCCAAATAAAGCATTATGGTTTTGGCATGCAATTCTAATGGAAACTTTTTAGTAAAGTATCATAGCTACATAAAAATTGAGGTAAAACAGTATAATGCCTGAGGAAGTTAAATGAGACACTTAATCAGAACATAACCAAACTTTATTACAGGTTTTTCTGCTATTCCTCACCTAATGATACCATCTACTGCCCAAGCAACCTTAACTAGTATTCTGCTGTCTGGAGTGCCTAATTATGGTCAAAACACTCCTTCTCCACCACCAGGCTTGACTCCTGTTGAAGTCCACGTTAATGGCATGCAATCAGAAAGTAAAAAAGGTTCACCTTCTTTAAATGGTCACGTGAAGGTAAGCGATACTACACTGGAGAATCTGATTTCTTTGTCCTAGACCTCTACTAAGAAAAGCTGAAAGAGAAAACTAGCTGTATTAGTAGATTTATAAAACTAAGTTTAAAAATGCACAACAGTGTTTTGAATATGACTTAAAGACTGAGAAATAGAACATTCAAGCATACTGTTCTGCTGTACCAGGAATGAGTTTCTCATTCTCCTGCTCATATAGAAAGGGGAAATTGTTTCAATATTTCCTTAAGCATAAAAATCACTTCAGTGATTTGTGACAATCTTTTCAGGCCTCAAATATTAAGTATGCTGCACTGTCTGCCACATCGCTGGGAGAAAACGTGTTGAGCACAAACCACAGTGATGGGGTAAGGCAAACAAGTGCTCATGGTGCCTCAGAACAAGTGGCTGCCAAGGCAAATAGCGAAGAAGGTGAGTTTTTGACACTGCATTCCTTTGTCTGGTAGTGTTTGTACAGCCTGTGTACAGTTCATGATACAAAAATGTAACAATATTCTCTCTGAATTTGTTTTGCAACCATGTTTAAGGAAAATATTGCTGGATGTCCCAGAGTCATTGTCAAGGAAAGTAAATAGAGCCTGTAGTAACTGAGCTGTTGATAGAAACACCTTAAATCAACATAAATGTACTTGCAACATTTTACTTCTTCCCTAGGAGCAGAGGGAGATAACCTATGAGGATTTTAGTATTTTTTACAGCACCTCAACTAAACTCTGCTGGTTTAAATTATGTCTTAATTTTTGCTTTTTAACAAAAGGACATAATGTTACTGAGAATGTTTTTTGCAGAAAATTGTGTAGCTCTAACCTAGATGACACTGGGAAACAATTTTGTGTGTTTTGCAGCAGCATTTCAGTTATGCTACCCTTTAGAAGCTAAGGTACTTAACTGTCCCCATCATTCTTGGAGGGGGGAAAGCCAGCTCCACTTCAACTTGAGCAAATATCTGTAAAGGCTTTGTTTCCCTTGTCAATACTGATCAAGGAGATCATCTCTTAGTTGGGGTTGTGGTCATTTGAAATGCTGATTTGAATAAAAGGTACATTGCCAATTTAGGGTGATAAATATTTCTAAAAACATGTTCTGAAGATCTTTGAACATGAAGTGGAGGGAGCTCTTATTCCAGCAGAAGTTACCTGAGCTCCTGGCAAAGTCTATTAAAACTGGGTATAAAATCAAATTTCTTCAGAATACTTAGTCACTTTGAATTGTCAGCCTTCTTATTTGTTATTAATTAATATTACTTAAAATAAATATTTTAAGAAAGAAAATACTTAGTGTGACTACTGTCTATGTGAATACTGACAACTTTTTTGGGCATTTGAACTTGTGAATCTTGACTGCTTAACCTTGACCTGAATACAGTCCTGTAAGGAGGAAGAGGAGGTTTTCCCCCATAGTTCATTCCCCCAGAGAGCTGCCTGGAACACAGCAGGGTGGTTGTTGAAGTCTCCTTTCTTGGCCTGGTAGGTTGCAATGATGCTTTTGTGGAGGTGGGCATGCCCCGGAGTCCGTCGCACTCAGCCAACACCAGTGACCTGAAGCAGATGATGAGCTCTGCCAAGCAGGCCTGTGCCAAGAGACAAACGGTGGAATTGCTGCAAGGCACCAAAAACTCCCACTTACAGTAAGCTGAGTTTATAAACACAGATTAGGGGAACTTCCACAACATAAAATTATTTCACACGTTTTTGTACACAGAAGAGGTGATTCAGTCATAAGATACTCAAAGAACTGATTTAATTTGGCCTTGATTTTCCATCACTTTAGGGGTTTATATAGCCCCCTGTTTATCTGGTAACTGCAGACTTTGAATGCTTTTTGTTATCCTATTTGACTTGGGGTTCAAAAATGTCTTTCCTCTTCCACTAAAGAATGGAGGATCCTCGTCAGAGCAACTTTCATTACCTGTTTCTAAAGTATGGGCTTTTGCTTCTTTATTGATTGCTTAGAGAATTATTTCTGACAGCTTTTTCCTTTTGTACCTGAGGCTGTTTTCTTCTTAGGAAAGCTGTGTTCAGGGCATAGCAGCATGTTCTCAGACATTTGTCTCAGTGCTGATTTTGGTTGGGTTGGCTCTTTAATGACCCAGCAGTGGGAAAGGCTTGTTTGAGTCATAATACATCTTGGCAACACAGGTTTTTTTTCTTAATGCAGTGTTTTTGTCCAGTGTACTCATGTTCTCACTGTTTGTTTGGGAACTGTTTATCACCACTCTTTTGAGACACATATTTTCTTTTGCTTCATTTATTTACACTGTCAAGGCTATGATATGTATTTAATTCTGCTTTCACAGTTTAAAAATCCGAGGAATCCTGCTAAGCAGATTTGGTTGTTTGTGTGTCTTGTTCTTTTTGTTGAGGACATAGTGCTCACAGTTTCCTTGGGGATAGTAGTTTACAGCTTCTAAAACATGATCACTTTTTTATTGTATTTGTGGGGTGCCCCCGTGGCAGGGAGGAATGATGAATTTGACTCCATGTTCTCAGAAGGTAAATTTATTATTTTAAGATACAATATTATATTAAAGAATGCTATACTAAACTATACTAAAGAATACAAAAAGGATATTTACAGAAAGCTAAAAAGATAATAATGAAAACTCATGACTCTATCCAGAGTCCTGACACAGCTTGGCCCCAGTTGGCCAATGAGTGAAAACAACTCACAGCAGAAACCAATGAAACAATCACCTGTTGGTAAACAATCTCCAAACACATTGCAAAGAAGCAAAATACAGGAGAGGCAAATCAGATAATTATTGTTTTCCTTTTTCTCTGATGGTTCTCAGCTTCCCAGGAGAAAAAATCCTGGGCAAAGGGATTTTTCCAGAAAATGTCAATGCCACACTTTTAAAATAAGAGCTTATACTGTTCTAGAGTAGCCCTTAAATGTGGCCGAGTTTAGGAAAAAGAAAAAATTGCACCAAGAGTTAATGTAGGCATGAAGGACTGCAGTTCTTGAAGCTGTGAAAGCAAGCAGAGCCTATGTCAGCTTTCTTAGTTCCTATTATGCAATCTCTTTTTATCTTACAACAATGAACCTGTTAGAACTGCTGGCCTGAGCAAGGCTAAACAGGAAATCACACTGTGTAGGATTGCATGCAATAATCCCAGATACCAGACAGCTCAAAACTGAATTTATAAGCTGTACCTTGTATTTGGTAATACAGGAAGGAGAAACACTTGTTTTCCTTCACTGACAGAAAAAAGACACAGGAGATCTGACACGTTTGCTAAAAATGCTGAGATGTCTGTGAACAGACACATGTCAAACGTGGCTGGCAGGCCTCTCAGGGTGAGCTGGGTGAGCAGGGCTGCACTGAGGTGGCCCCAGCCCGAGGAGAGCCGAGCTAACAGCGTGTTTGCCTCTGCACTGAGGTGTGAGCCGAGCTAACAGCGTGTTTGCCTCTGCACTGAGGTGTGACCGAGCTAACAGCGTGTTTGCCCCGCAGCACCACGGACAGGCTGCTGGCCGAGGCCGAGCTGGGCGCCCCCGAGGGCCCCGTGGCTGACAAGAAGGCCCCGGGCAGCGAGCGGGCGGCCGAGCGGGCGGCGGCGGCCCAGCAGAACTCCGAGAGAGCGCGCCTGGCCCCGCAGCCCTCCTTTGTCAACATGCAGGTACGACCCCTGGGTGAAGCCAAGGAGGTGCAAATCCTGATAATTGCAGAGTGAAATTGCCATAGAATGCAGAGGTGACTGGGGACTGGAGACTGAGTTGTCATTACCAGTTCAGGAAAAGCATTCACAGCTGTTTCACTGAGGAGTGGGTTGTCAATGAAAAGTCTTGAAAACAGAAATGCTCTTATGCTTCTGATGAGTAAAAAAAGTTTAAGTACAGAAAATTGTGTGGCTGTATTTGTCTCCACAAGCATCATTTGCCTGTTAGAAATCTTACATTGTCGCTTGGAGAGAATTATAGCTGCAAAATACATATTACAACTTGTCATATGCAGTGACAGCTCGGTGAATTACAGCCTACAAATATAAACTATTGCCATGTTACTGCAAATCTCCCCAAAGAGGGAGGAGACCCCCTTGACTGTCAGGAAGCAGTAACAGGGTTATTTTCAGACTAGATCTGTTTAAGTGTGGGCATAAGTGTATGGAGTAGTGGAACAAGAGTCAGACTAGTGTTTTGCAGCCCTTTTCTTCAGTTATTCCTCTACTTACTTTCAGTAGAGAATGCAATACTTCAGGCTAATACAGCATTTTTGTAGTTTTGTGTTTAGCTTTCCCAATTTGTAATTCAATAAAGTGTAGCTTGTTCAATCAGGGGTATTTAAACTTCACATCTTACATCGACATAGGTAGAATATAAGCAAAAGTTCTTTAAATTCTCTCAAAGCCTACATTCTTTTCCTTTCACAAGATGAGTGCATGGAGGAGAACCAAACCTGAAAGATTATTGAAAATAACTGTGGTGCCCAGATTTGCAAAGATATATTATCTTTTTTGTACTGCTAAGGAATGTTTTAAATGCTAAGAACAGATAGTTAAGGAAGATAAACTATGCTTGAAAAATAACTTATTAAAAAAATTGAAGAAAAAATTCTTCCTACGCAGTTTGTAAATACTGCTGCAGCCTCACTCATATGGAAATCAGATAGTTATTAAAAATCTTTATCTATATTTGAGTGAATACTTTAAGTAACTTAGGTTCTAACTGGGCTGCCATGAATATATTGTGCAGTATTTCAGGTTTCTCCTAGGTGTATTCCCTGGCCACTTTGAAAGCCTTTGTTTTCACAGAGATGAGTGCGGGAGTGACATTTAGTTAGAATTGCAATTAAATTATCTTCTGCATGTTTAATTTTTAGGCATTTGACTATGAGCAGAAGAAACTACTAGCAACCAAAGGTATGTGGATGAACAGTGACTTCTGAAAAGTTTGTTAGCACATGAATGAAATTATTTTCTGAAATTTCAGTTTTATAATCTGATTTTTAATAAAATCTGAAACTGGTAGTGAAACATTTGTATATTAGCTTTATGTTCCAAAAAATTTCTTCATACCAACCTAGTATAAAATACAATATAAGCAGCTTGCAGATAGGATGTGTAAGTACATCCATGTGCAAATGATCAATATGGTTTTCAGAGAGCTTATTGCTCTAACACTTCTCTTTATTTGGAAGCAAGTTAAACTTTAAGGTGTTTGCCATATCAGCTAAATGGCCTTATTTCAGGGATAAATTAAGTTGTAGAATTGGTAAGGGAACTTAACCATATTTTTGACCCTGTTATAAAATAAACCAAATTACCTGTTCACCACAAGAAAAACAGAAGGTCCTCTCTTTGAAACAGATGTGATTTTTTTGGCTTCCATGCAGCCCTGTGGGATTTAACTGTCTTCTGGCAGAGTAGATTGCTTTAAGGAAGGGTAGGATTTAAGCTGTGCAGCAAGTGGAGATGTTTAGGGTTTGCTGTTTGCTGGGCTCAGGCTGTTAGCAAACATCACTTCAGTATTATCATGTCAGTATCTTTACTAAGGCTGAGATTCACTGATTTGTCTCTATTTTCAGCTATGTTAAAGAAGCCAGTTGTAACAGAAGTGAGAACTCCAACAAATACATGGAGTGGTTTGGGGTTCTCTAAATCAATGCCTGCAGAAACTATCAAGGAACTAAGAAGAGCAAATCATGTATCATACAAGCCTTCCATGACAACCACATATGAGGTATATAAAAGTGTACTGTAATGAAAGTTTACTTCTAGTGAATAATACAGTTGTTTCTCTTGAGAAATGTTTAACTTCTGTAAAAACAAAGCCTTGCAGATAACTGCTGTAAATATTTTTTTATGGTGAAAAATATTTCTTACATAAATATTAAGGCATATGGAATACATTCAGCCCAACACACAAGGTTACATCTGTTTCACAGATAAGTCACAGAGGATAGATGTCTGCTTCTTAAAATATATTTGTTTAAAGGAGCTTTGAACAACTTACAGGACCAAACATCTCAGTGTTGCAAACCAGCAATAGGGAATTTGTAACCTAATGAGAACAGAGCATATATGACAGATAAACTATATCATATGTATCACTGCATGGTGGAGGAGAACAGCAGAACAAGCAGCTCATCTTTCCTTCTGTGGACAGAACTGGAACAGCTGTCTCTACTTGCCTTATTCAGTGGGCTCAGAATTTTCCCAGACACAAGGCAGACAGAGTCCAGCAATTCTCTTCAGAGTCCCAGCATGGGAATCTTGCAGGGAATTTGTTCCTTTCTTCTCAAAGGCATGCTGAAGTTGTTTTTTACTGTGCTTCCCTGCTGTAATCCTTCCCAACTTCAATGAAGAAATCCTTTTCTCTCCTGCTTGTATGCTTCTTGAAGAAGGGGACTTCATAGTTCTCTAGGATATACCTGTCAGTTAATGCAAAAGAAAATTTCAGCTGGGATAAAAATGTGCCTTGGTGTTCTCTGCTTGGCATATCAACTTGCTGAACCATTCAGCTACATGTAGTAGGCTTGGCTACACAAGATGCAGTAGTAACTAGGAGAAAGAAAAAACTGCAACCAAAATCTGCAATTTTCTTTTTCATACTTTCCTGTCTTGGTTGAGCTGGGGTGGGATTTTCCCCCAGGCCTTAATATCTAAAATCTCTAGATATGTTTGTGATTCTAACCAAGAGCAGTGTTTCTTCAAGGCTGCCAGTTTTACTAGTGTAAAAGATTGCCTCCTAAGTGATGCTTTTCAACTGCAATTTGGTACAAGTTTACAGAATTAAATTGTGAATTTCCATAGTTTTTAGCTCATGTAAGTATGTGATATTTATAAGGTCAATTTCTTTTGGGTGTGTTCCTATGGAATACTGCTGCCTTGTATTGCTACATTCTGACTCACAATGATGGGAGTTGATAATAAGTATTTCACAGGTATATGAAAATCTATTTAAAAAGACCCCAGACAAAACAACTACAAATTCACATGGCATTGCAGAATTGTTATTGTAGTATAGTGTGCAAGACTGTTGTCCAGTAGTGTGTACTTGATCCACTTATCTTCAGATAAATGTTCTGCTATGTTCTCTTCCCTGTGAAGGGATGTAGTCAATAGACTGCTTTGTCTAGAATTTGTGTGGGAATTTGATACCATGGAATGTTTTGGAAACAAACTTGGAAATACCGAGCAATTTATTTTGAATCATGTTCTTTAAATAACTTCTGCTTAAAAACTGTAAACTGCACATGTTTGAAGCACACCTGCTGTTTTCGTGTCCGGTTTGCAATTATTTGCCTATTGATCAACTGCCAGAAGAATGTTTGTGAGCGTTAAAAGCTGCTTTTCAAGCAAGCTGCTTCAAAGAAAACATCTGAGTCACAATGAAAGCTCTGTTTTCAGCCCAAATTTCCTCTCTGTGGTTTGCAGGGCTCATCCATGTCTCTGTCCCGGTCCAGCAGTCGGGAGCACCTGGGGAGTGGCAGTGAATCTGATAACTGGAGAGACCGGAACGGCCTCGGACCCACTGCTCACGATTTTGTCTCCTCAATTGGCAGCCCCAAGCGGAAACAAAACAAATCAGGTTAATAAGCTCTTATTATCTGCTTAAAAGAAAAGAATCATTTTGGTACCAGTATGTATTTTGATATGAATGTGTCCTGACTTCACAAGGGATTTAAATTACTGACACTGCGTAATTCCTTTTTTTTACAAATTGAGAAGTGTAAGCTTGTGTTGCAGTAGCACACAAAATGAACGACACTCACAAGCTGAGATGTTTAAGGTAAAAAGAGGGTAATTTTTTTCAAATTCTAGTATTTGTAGACTTTTAAAAGTGACTATAGATTGGAGGATGAAATTGCTACTTCTCCAGCTACACTGGTCAAACTAATAGTCTATCAATTTTTTCTTCTTCTAGAAAGAAATGTAAAGCAATTATTATTTACATAAAAATGTGTGAAAAACTCCATTATAAAAATGTAAACATCAGAAAGCTTAGAAGAACTTAGAAAAACAAAGGAACAAGCTTGTGTAACATGATAATCCAAATAATGGTCTGAAAGGAAAGCTTTTAAGGATATTTGTTAAATGCCAGACATCCTTGCTGAAAACACTTTGCTGTCATGGAGTGGGTTTTTCAAGGTGTACTGGAAGCAGACCTGTAAAAAGGCTTATTTCTAGAGCACTTTCATTCTCCTATGTTGACGATGCAACAGCAACCAGGGCTTTATTGGGCTGTTTGCTCACTAGGGAAGTCATAATCCATGCTGAAACTGGATTTTAAAGCATGAGTCTCCTCATGGGGATAAAATTTACAAGAACACTGTGTAGTGACAGGACAAGGGGGAGTGGCAAGATAGTAGGTTTAGGTCAGATATTATGAAAAAATTTTCCCTGTGAGGGTGCTGAGGCCCTGGCACAGGGTGCCCAGAGAAGCTGTGGCTCCCCCTGGATCCCTGGAAGTGCCCAAGGCCAGGCTGGATGGGGCTTGGATCAGCCTGGGATAGTGGAAGGTGTCCCTGCCCATGGCAGAGGTTTGGAATGAGATGATCTTTCAGGTCCCTTCCAACCCAGGCAATTCTATGCAAAGAAGGTTGTCCATATGTTTGGCATGGGCTAACATGATTTTAAATACTGGTTTCTGTACATACAGGCTGTATGTTTTGCAGTGACTTTTCAAACATTGTTGGAAGTTTAAAAATTGAAATTTTACTTTAGTTTTACTCTTAGAAACTATATTTTTTTTAATAAGTTAATGGATGCTCTTTTGAAAAAGTGAGAACTGGAGGTAGAGAATACTAAGTCCGTACTACCTCTCTGCTTTATGTTTGTACTTTTTGTTGTTGCTTTTTCTTATAAAAGTGAATAAAATAAATCCCAAACTCAAAGTACACACATAATAAAATTTGGGTATGGTAAGAAAGGATAGCTCCAATTAGAGAAAATATTAATGGTTTTAGAAAGTACATTAGTTGAGCTGTGAATGGCTGCACATCGTATTCTAAAGAGATGACAACTTTATTTGAAATCAATCTATTGATGCTTTCAACCTAATTGGACAAAAATGGAAGTTCTAGTTTAATTAAAATAATTAAGGATTAAAAATGTGTTTACATGTGTGTTACAAGAAAATTAGAAACACAAATACATTGGCAGTGAAGGACAGTGTTCTATGATAGCTGTAGCTTTCCCAGGAAATAAAATGTGTGGATAAAGGATAAAAGAAACAGCGATGAGTTGGATGGACAAAAGTAGGCCTATAGAAAACAAACACCAGAACTTAATTAACAATAAAATTGCTTTATGTTGTTCATTCTCTCAGACCACTGTGAGGCTTTTTTTTTTTTGTCCTGAAAAATAGATTTAAATACTTTGTAAATGTAATGATCTAGCTGAATACAATGTTGGTGGAAAACCATGCCCTTCTGTGATGTGTCTGAAAAGTGCACTTGTTCCCTTCCAGCTGAACACTATCTCAGTAGCAGTAACTACATGGACTGCATTTCCTCGCTGACAGGAAGCAATGGCTGTAGCCTCAACAGTTTGTTCAAGGGATCTGATCTACCTGAGCTCTTCAGCAAGCTTGGTTTGGGCAAATACACAGATGTATTCCAGCAGCAAGAGGTTGGTGTTCCTTTGAGAGGCACCTTTGTGTTGGTAGGATGTTTTCCAGGACTAGTTGTGCTGTCTCTTCACCAAAAGCCACTTAGAGCTCACTTTATGACAGGATTTCCATGAGCTGTTCTTTCAAAGCTGGGTCTTACATCTTACAATCATGGTAAATACTCAAAACCTCAAGACTCATAGATAAGACTAACTGATTTCCTCTGCTTTTCCTGAACTGGTTACTTTTAAATTTCTCCTTTTCTGTCACAAGTGTAGCAAATTGAGCAACTATGTGAAGCAGCCATTGAAAAGCCATGATTGCTGCCTACATGAGTAACTGTAAAATGGAGCAGGGGAAAAAAATGAAACTGTTCTGAGCCACGTTTAGCACTTAATACTTTTGTGGAAAGACTTGTTTTGCATATTTTTCTTATTTCTTTTTAATCTAGATTGATCTGCAGACATTCCTCACTCTTACTGATCAAGATTTGAAAGAGTTGGGAATTACCACTTTTGGTGCCAGAAGAAAAATGCTGCTTGCAATCTCAGGTAAAAAACACAGAATACCATGTATTGATTTTAAGCACTGTTTATATTCTTCTCACTCAAATTGTGTATTTATAGCCAACAAAGGAAAAAAAAAAACCTTGGAAAGAGTGAAAAGTAAGACTAGAGTCTACAGAGGTAATATTAGCTTGCCCCTCACCAGAGGTGAGGCTTTATAGAGCTTTCCCCTTACCTAATACCAGCTCACTTGCAATAGTCCTGTAAAGCTGCAGCTTGGTAGAAAGTTCATCTCACATTGTGAAGTTTAATGCCCCAAAATTGTGGGTCCAGGAGTTTCTGGGATTACAGGCACTGCAGGGTCTGAACAGCACTCCTTACCAGTCACAACTGGCATTTTCAACTTTTTGGTTCCCTGTCCTCCATTTTATTGATTAGCAGAGCAGTCATCCTACTGGGAAAAAGTGCCTGCTTTCAAGGGGCTTTGGGGTTGTTTTTTTTTGTTTGTTTGTTTGGTTTGCAAATGTACTTAGTTCAGTAGCAGTCTTGAAAAGTTATGTAATCTCTCAGCAGTTTGTATCTAGCAAAGACTTTGTTTACAAGAACAGGAAAGTGGAGAAAAGAAAAATATGTTAGATGAGCTATTACTAATAGGAGATTAGGGTTCATGTTTAAATGTGAGGTGAGCATCTGTTTTTTTCTGAAAGTCCTTGTTAAAATACTGCTTCAGTTTTATGTTTAAAGTAAAGAATTGTGCATTGAGAAATGATCAAGTTGGTAACAAGCTTTTCTGTCAATCTCAGTCTACGCTGCATGGTTGGGCTTCCAACCCAAGATTGGGAAGATTGCAGTGTTTGAGTATTATAAGAGAAACTTTTAAAAGTTTCAGCTATGTCAATTTGATCTAAATCAATATTGCAAAAAATTCAGTGCCAAATAAGAATTGTCCCAGGTAGAGCCTCTGAGTCCTAACCTGATGCTCTTAATTATCCTGTTGGACTGTTTGTTAATTGAAGGAGAACCTCACAGATATTTTGAGTGCCTACCCTACCTGCCTAAAATACTTTGTTCATTTACACAGAAGTTGTGCGTTTGGTTGACATAAAGCATTAAAATGGATTTCTGTGGGTGTGCTTGCCCCCTCCAGAACTGAACAAAAACCGAAGGAAGCTCTTTGACCCATCCAACATCCGCGCCTCGTTCCTGGAAGGTGGAGCCAGTGGGAGACTGCCGCGCCAGTATCACTCGGACATTGCCAGCGTCAGCGGGCGCTGGTAGCAGGAGGCTGGGCTCAGAAAGCAGCTGGAAAGATGGACATGGCAATCCTGTGGACAGCCTTCACTGCACACCACCCTCTGCACTTTGGGAGATTGGGTGTCAAGGACCAAAGCAAAGTTTTGTCTGCACAATACTGTGCCAAAAAATCGGAGAGAACACGTTTTGTCAGTTGTCTTTCGAAACACCAAATGTGGGTTACGTTTTACTCATGTAGATTGGACAGAATTTGCAATAATAATAATATAGGGTTCTTTTTTTAGTATTTTATTACCTATAACTATAATGTATGCACTGAATTTTGTACTTTGTTGAATGAAGGAGGAATGAAGAGCTGGGATGCCAGAGAGCATAGATTTGGCTTTATCAAGATGGATTTTTCTGGTACTGCTTAAAATAATTATTGAGGTCTTTCTGCACTTTACATGTTCTGATTTCTTGTCCTGTGGAAATTTATTTCTCTTTCATTTCCATATCAATTTTTATATTGGCACTAATCAAATTTTTTCAGGTGTTCCTACATTAAGTCACATCTCACTATAATGGTACTAGAAACTGGTTCTTATGCAAATTTTTGTTTTTCCTCTCTCTGTCTCCCAGGTAGTTATCTGAAGAGATTGTTCCAAAATCAAGTCACTTGGTAGTGGACCAGTCCTATTATGCTCTTATAAAGCAGTCTAATGCTGCTTGCAATAATACTCACTGTAATAAATGCAATGAAAGACCAAAATGGACCTTGCAATATTAACCCTTTTCAGTCAACATATTTAACTGCTGCCTTTATGCTAAAACTGTTTTTAATGGTTGTCTCAAAGCAAAGGGCTATTTTTAGTACCCTGCCACTAAAGGACACTTATTTATATCAGACTTATATTTTTAGATTCTATGCACCTACAATACGTAACAGATTAAACTGATCTACTGCAGATTTATGGTAGAGACCAAAAGGCATTCATCAAACTAGAGCTCTGGGCTGTCAGTTTGATTAAACAGACAACTAATCTAATTTGACAAGACAGCACTGTTGCCATTTAATAAATGACACATATTACTTACATGACTATGCATGCAGCAATGAAGTGACCTACATAAAATAGGTGTAATTGCATCTGTTTTGTTCGATCTAGATTTGTAATTGTCAGCTGCAGAAGTGTTTGAAACTCTGGAGATGAACTATTTCTGAAACAAGTTATGTTCAACAGAAAGAGTCCATGTTATAAGTGGCTAGAGCTAAATTTTGTATTCTTATACTGTGAAAGTCCGAAAGATTTGGCGATGTTATTCTTCTGTCTTTACAGATGTTGTGTTATGGGTTTATGAAGGGTTTCAATGTAATGAAGGAATCCATTAAGTGCCTCTTTTTGCAATGCTATGTGTAGATTCCAAGCATTAATTGAAAAGCATTCCCATGAGAAATATTGTGAATTACCTTACCTCTACTGTAATGTATTATTTATGTTCAGTGTACAAGCCTTTTGAGATGGACATAAACCACTGTGCTCTTAACAGAAGGCATTAGAATAACATTTACAGTAGTTGGGGTTTATGCAAAAATGGGTGAGAGAGTTTTGTCACTTTCCATGGGTAATCCTTTCTTTTAAGGTGAGAATGCAAAATGATGTATCGCAAAAATTGCACACACAAAGGGAATTTCAAGAGACTATTACTTGAGGGCATAGATGATCAAGCAATAATGTAAAGTCTTGTGGTTAGCTAAAAATTGCTGCTCAGTGCTCATTTCAGCCATATCTACTTAATGGTGTATACCTGGGTGACTTCCCCTGTAGATCAAGTAGCAGCTTTGTCTGGTTTTAGAATGGCACTGCAGATGTGACTGGCTAAAGCTGTAAAAGGTACTCACACAGTTGTTCACAGCAGCTTCCTCTGCTCAATGCCAAGAGTCAATATCCACATGTCTAGGAGAGATTAGTGTGTGTGTGTTGCACAGGCAAGAGCAACTTCATGGAAACCCTCTTGGAAGCCACCACTTCTCATTCTAAAGCTATTTACACTTGTGCTTACTTCTAAGCATGCAGATAGCTCCTTTCACACGGACTATTTATGTGCTTACAGATAAGCTGTTTTTTAAATGTTTGCATTTGCAAGCCTAGTGCTTGCAAATCAAATTGTATTCAGACTCCTTATTTCATAAAATGTTTTTAATGAACTAAATATTCAGCAACACTTTGTACAGAATTTTCTGCAACCCCTACTTGCTTATTTCGCCTAAACTTAAAAGCATCCAAAAGCTTTGCACTCAAATTTTTAGCCTTTTGTAGGTACATGCTATCCATCCAGATGGTACTCAGAAACTGATTTTCTTACAGTATTAAGTTGATGTGGTCTTTTGCTGAGCAGCTTATTTCATCTACACCAAAGTGAAGAATTTCCCATGAACAACATTATTTTTCAGTAGGGCTTCACATTAAAAAAAAAAACCACACTGGAAGTAAATTCTCACTTTGATTCCACAAAGGGAATATAACAGTACAGTGTATCGTATTGTTAGTGTTACATTATGCACAAATATTTGACTTGCTACATAAAATGTTAGTTTTAAATCTGTGCCTTAACAGTGACCAGTTATCTGTAAATATAGAGCAGATACAGATTGTATTTTTGTGGGTTGTGTCCTTTTAGTGATTTTTTTAAGAAAATGAAAGTTGAAATTAAAACATTAAAAATGGAGATTTTCAAAACTAATCAGTGTTGCATAAAATAAATTTATATAACTCCCTTGTATTCTGATTGGTTCATGAAGTATTTTTATATAGACCCAGTTCCAGGGATGCTTGCTTGTTAATAAAATATAAAAAGCACTATTTGACATAATGGCAACATGTTTCTTTCACATGTTAATGCTTTATGTGTTTTACTGTTCATTTTGTATCACATACAATGTCTTTGTCTGGATTTTAAATGAGAATGCTTTTTTGGGGTGCCTCTCCATAATCTAAGAGGACTTAATTTATGACAGGTTCAGTTCTGAGCAGTTTTTAGTGGTTTGGCTCATGAATTCTGTTCTTCCTTTGGTCCTCCCATTTTAATGACTGTTTTGATCAGGTTAGCAGAGAGTTGTGTGTTTTCACGATGGTCATTGTACTGTCACCTCCAGTAAGTGGTGGGGAGGGGGAAGGGAATTCTTTCTTCAGGCTGCTGGGACATGACCAGTCAGCCTGGCCAGAGGCACAGCTGTCACACTGAGGTGACATGCACACAGCAGGGACAGTCAGTCCTGTTGTTTGCTCCACAGCTGCTGGTGCAGGTTCAGTATTGCTCTGGTACAGGTTCAGTATTGCTCTACCTCTCCACGTGCTCTCAGGCATCTCATTATCCCCGCCTGATGTGTTCTGCTTTACAGACACAGCTCTCCAATGGCTGTTCCTGGCTCACTGACTTTGCAAAACTCACAGTTGTTTTTCTGAGTACCTCCTGAGAAGTGCAGGTGTGGGAACAAGTTTGGGAAGGAAAGAGATCAACAAACTGTTCTGCTGAGAGCAACTGAAGGGTGTGGTGCTGAGCACCAATTTACCAGGCATTGACATAAATTGCGTGGAAATTTACAGGCAGGTGGGCTTGCAGATTCCACAGTGTTTCTGAAGTCTGACCTATAGCGAGCTACGAGGGTCTGAAGCAAGGTAGTTTCCTTTGTGGACCATTTATTTGGGCATATTGCTTCCAACAGCTTTAGTCAGTAGCGTGTAAAGCTGGTGTGGGACAGAGAAGGAGGTGATGGAGCATTAGAGCTTGTTGGCTGCTCCTTTACGGAGCAAGCAGTGTTCCCAGCAGCTGGCATGGCACAGCATCGACAGGATTGCTCCCTGAACAAACTGTCTCTCTCCACTACTTTGGTTTTAAAATGGCACTGCAGATGTGACGGACTAAAGCTGTAGCCAGTGGAACAAAACTGGTGATTTTCAGCCTGAACAAAAAGTTGCATTCTAAGAATTGTTGCCAATACACAAGAGAAAATAGATGGAGTCTCCAAGCTCTGTAAAAATTAAAAGTGAGGCATCTTTCTTTGCTGTTGAATCCCACTCCAATCTAACAGTTGCTGGAGGAATCTTGTCTTTCCAAATCCCAGAAAACACAGTTACACCAGTTTTGTGAGTACTGTTGTAAGCTGGTCAGTACAGGTGTGATGGGCAGGGGTATTCAGAAGCTTGTGCTCACACTGTAAAGTAAGCCAAGGAGTATTTGATTCCAGGCAAGTCTGGACACGGTTGGAGCTATGTTTTGTCCTTGAAGAACCAGCTTCCTTTCCATCACAGATCCTTGAGCAGAAGGAAGGTTTGGTTTTATCTGGAGTTGCTGCAAAGTTTTTGAGGGTGTCAGAAGATGTATAAACTGGGGAACTTGTAGAAAAAATTGTGATATGAATGGTTGGTGTCTGTTATGTTGTTGACAGCTGCTTTGAAAGTGGTGAGCTCTAAGGACAATTAAGCTGGTGAAGGGAGTATTTTAGCATGGTTAAAGATAAAAGAGCTCTTATTTTGAATTAGGTGTAGTTGTGAGTGAGGACTATCTTGTAATCTGAAAAGCACACAATAAACTTGTGCTTTGGTTAAAAATTCCTTTCTTTTTATTTGGGTTAAGATAGCATCTGGAGCAGAAGTAACAAGCATCCAGAAATTATAGAAAGCTTTTTGTAGATGATATATCTTGTATTAAGGAAAATTTGAGTTTTATCTTTGTTTCCTGTGCTGCAGATGTACTTTTTTATAGTGTTTATAATTTTAATATTTTACATGCTTTCGTGAGTTAGTAAAGCAGACTTTAAAAATTAAAGTAGTAGAACAGTCATACTTGCCAATTTTGAATATTGATACAGCTATTAGGAGCAGTTAAATGTTAATAAAGATTTTTTTTTCCTCTCACTTTGAAGAAAGGGTACTGTTAAAGAAACAGACTCAAACAATGTAGAAAGTTTTTGCATTAGAGCATCATCTAGTGTCAAATTTCCCTGCTCTCTTAAGGAGTAAGATTTGGGGAATATTTTCTCTGAGAAATGCAGAATGATTCCAGATGTTGATGAAAATATGAAGAAAGATGAATACATTGTGATGGAAATTCCCAAGTTTGTGCCAAAACTGTGTTGCAACTTCATGGAAACTAACAGATGGAAAAAGCAAAACATAATATGAGAAAAAAAACCCCACTAAAATAATTATATAATGAAGCAAAAATTTGTCACTTCTAACAATGGGTGATTAATGTTTTAAGAAATAATGTTGCTACTAATTTAGTAACCCTAGGACCATAAACTGATATGGGTTTTGCTACACTTCTTTGCTGTGATAAAAATCATGGTCTGTCACCCACGAAGGACAGAA